TCTCGACTACGAGTGTCATTAGATTGTAGTCTTTGTTCATTGAAAGTAAAATAATATGTAAAACTTTAAAGTATCTATCAAAAATGTTGAAAAAAAAAAATTACTGGAAATCTGGCCTGCAGAAAACACCCTAGCTGCAGTACACGGCGCATACAACAGGGTACTTRGCGATAACACGACCTGCGATCAMACATTATGCTGTTAATCGCAAATACGATTTGAATAAAAACGTCGTTATGTAAATACTAAACCGCCGGACGTGTGTGTCGACGCACATCAAACACAATCATATAACCACCGCGTGATAAATTATACGAAATTAGGGGCTTGGGCTTCGTGCCTGTGTTACGGGAAATCGCGCGTGGCCAGATCGGAAACGAAAATATTATGTACGAATGTTTTAATATAATAATATGCATAAAACAATAGGCGTATATGAAACGTTTGCGGGCGTTTAATATTGTTCCGCCGAACAACAATATAATAATAATATATCACGGGACATTCCGCTATGATGATTCTGCAATAATTATTATTGAGTGTATCGTGTATTGTGAAAATTATGGCACCTATATGTATATAGTTTTATGCATATTATTATATTAAAACAATAGGCGTATATGAAACGTTTGCGGGCGTTTAATATTGTTCCGCCGAACAACAATATAATAATAATATATCACGGGACATTCCGCTATGATGATTCTGCAATAATTATTATTGAGTGTATCGTGTATTGTGAAAATTATGGCACCTATATGTATATAGTTTTATCGTACATTGCTGCAATGATTATTATTGGGCATTTGAGTCATTAAATTATGATGATATATGTGCGCATTGCGCTGCACTTGTAACGTAGTCCATACTGCACTTGTGCGCTGAAATCATCATCACCACCATTAAAATATTATTACGCTGGGTAAAATTTTTTCGCATATTTGTATGATAAAAATATGGAAACAGCGAGTCTATATAATAAACGTTCGTCTGCGTGTAGGTTAGGTTAGTTACACTTGTGCATAGGTATAGATGTTATTAAAGCAAGCGAATATATCGATTATTTAGAAAAAATTATATCAGCAATTAATGCAAGTGAAAACTAATCTAAAACTAATTCAAGGGTTAAATATGATATATTTTTAGCCAGTTAATATAYATTATATTATATAGTTTAATTGTTTAAGTAAATACTTAAAAAAATTAATAAATATTATTAATGTAAGTTATAAAGCAAGTATATGCACTTTATTTTTGAAAAATGTTGAAATTTACGGCGTAGTTACTAGAGCGCATGTAATTTATGTATAAAGGTGATTCATCATGTATGATAATCGCTCTTTTTTATTCTTCAACAGTGTAGTTACTGTAGTKATTCAAAATCTGACCATATTTTTGAAATTCTGAGATTTTCTATACTACTCATTAAAAAAGAGTATTACMTAATACAATATACTATTATATAGTACCTATTAAGATATAAATTATTTAGTGATTATTTTTCTGAAAATGTCGACGAATCAAAATCACAATTCGTACGGTAGTTTTTTAACTCTTACCTTTGTGCTATATGTGTACTAAGGATAATAAGATYATAGACAATTCATAGTACAGGGTTTAGAATACATTGTGCGGGCTATGGTAATTTTAAAATTTATTAATTAATATTTATCCATCAACGTTTATAACTTTTAAATGAGTAYAATAAATACAAGATTTAGTATTACAACAATTTTTTAATTTTTGTAAAATCATTTTTAAGGACTATATTATTTTTACCATAAACATTTTAATAACTGAGAAACTATACTCGTTCGATTTTGAATTAGGTACATCAAGATTTTCAATAAAATAAATAAATAACCAAATAAATATTTTACAGTAGAAGAGACGGGTTACATTTGAAAAGCAGAAGTTTGTATTGCCTCAAGTAGTATTAAATAAACCTCAAGAATTTGAAAATATGGTCTTGAAGTATATTTAAAAAATTCCAAATCAGATTTCTAGTACATTCACTATTAAACGAAAAAATAACTGTATAATAAGTATGCTCGATGAATCACCCTGCACTAGTGCAGCAGTATATTATAATGAAAAATGTTCCGAATACCTACGCTATAAAAATTTATAATAAAACTTTATATCATATTAAAATCGGATTGAAATGACTTTCATAGCTACTTTTTGAACCGATCAATAAAATCATTTTATTAAAATGTAAATATACATCACGATTCCGGGAGCTAAAATTACATTTTAAGATTTTTGTCATGTGTACCAGTGGCATTCTTATACCGGTCCTAGTGATCCGATTTTTCAACGCACAGCAGTGCACATATATGACATAATAACCTACAMACACTGYAGTGAATGTGATGTCTTACTTTTGCGTACTATAATTTTAAGACTTGGGCTGGGATTATAATGCACTAAAAACCTCAAAAAATGTACTATAAAAATGGATTTAAGGTTAATTTTGTCAAAAAAATCAAAAAATTAGGCACTTTAWAATAGTCAGTATCGGCAGTAGGTACCTATCGTCCAAAGCATATTGTTTACTTAAGGACCAACTGTACGGTTCAAAAAGCCAGATAAAAAGATGCCTTTGCATCGAAATCCCAGTCCTATAGTGAGGTGATGATGGGGATAGACCCCCCCCCAAAGCCTTTTTTTTAAATGTTTAATGCGTTAACTTGATATAAGATTATTCGATCATAAAATTACCCATATTTGTTATATAAATTATGATCACGGATATACTTCACCTCGTCCTTATCTAGGCTCTAAAATATTATATCATATCATAGTATCATATATTATAATACCCCCCCCCTCAAAAAAAAAATCATAACTACGCCACTGCAGCCTTATAGCTATTATGACTTATGCAATTATTWTTATCGTCAACTACTTACGAAGCACGTCCCTTGCAACGATGGAGCGGCGGCGCACAACATGCCCAGACCCACGTGATCGTCGATGACACGGGAACACTGGAAGTTTGACAGGACTTCCACGGAGAGTTTCTGCAATGTTGGGCTAGGATCGCCCGTCGGGAACGCAGTGATACCCCATCCCACGACCGTACCTTTTTGGCCTACATACGATTCGCCTGATGTATTTCGTCGGCACATATATTTATATGAAATACAGAAAAAGTTTTATATTATAATACAATAATAACATTATATAATTTATATAAAAGGCACCGCTGCAAAAGCATCGCTATTATATAGCCATKTCTTACACATTGTATAAAGCTCTCGTACGTTTTCCCAGCTCCCCACATATCACTTTTACCAAATTTTCTTTTGCCAACATTTATTAATACGCATTTGTTTGTATTTGTTTGACCAAACTCAGAATTTGTTTGATTTCGGTTCACCTCGGAAAATCGAGGGCCCAACCTTGCGGGGGGCTGCGGAAACGTTTCCATAGCCCCCCCCCCGCCCCCGTTAATTATTGACTTTTCGCAAATTTTCTGATGCCAACATTTAGTACGTCATTAGTTTGACCAAACTCAGAGTTTTTTTGATGTCGGCATGCCTTGGAAAATCGGTTTTCCGTGTACGGGACTGGAGAAACGTTTTCTTAGAAACTCTCCCCCTCTTAACCACTGTAAATAATAGACTGCAGAAATTTTCTTTTATCAATATTTAGTGTGTCATTGGTTTGTATTTGATTGACCACACTCAGATTTTTTTGATGTYGACACGCCCCGGAAAATCAGTTTTTAACAACAGTATTTATATAATATCGATATATCTATATAAGTACCTATATAATATATTACATTGTTGAAACCTGATAAAAATTAATACAATTTTTATTTTTATAATATACCTACTGATTTGTGTTTATTTAATGCAATATATATTTATATTAAATTATTCTCGTTATTGATATTGCAATATGTTTAATATATAATTTACCACGCATTTAGAACATTTGAAAGTGAATTTCGTGAATTATCTTATAATATAGTTCCTATTTTGCATAATATAATAAATATATTTTGCATTGTTTATAATTGCATTTACACCAAAAAAATTACCTAACATTATATGTAATAAATACGTGTTTTAGGAAAAGCATCCAATAGTTGTTCAGTTTTTGTGTACAAATACCTATTCTATATCTATGGGTTAGGTAGTGAATGATGTGAACAAAAGATAGAAGTATATGAGTGTACTAACTTCCCTAATATCTTGAATACTTGAAATAAAATTAAATATTTATATATAAAAACTATAAAAAGAAGTTTGACCATCCATTATCAATTTCGCATTTATTTTACTCACGCCAAAATTACTTAGTGATCATAACATTTCTGTAATTGCATGTCTAAGTATACTAATATCTAAATAAAGTTGAATATGTTAATATACCTATTAACTATTGCAGTTTATACTATCACCAGATTGTATTTTTAGAAATAATGAGCTATATGTAATATTATTATCTAAATGTTCAACTCAGATTTTGTTT